TTGGGCATATATATGGCATTCCGATTCAAATGCAAATCAAAATGTAGAGGATTTCAGTTCTCTACCTCCTACTTGTTCTGCTTCCTCCAGCCACTTGGACAGTATGGATTTCAGTTTGCAGGCGTTCTTGAAGCTCAGCTGCAAGTTTTCAAATCGGCAAATGGTTGTTTGGCTGAACTCGGAGCCGTGCACTGCAGCCAGTGCTTCTCCAACGTTGGTTTGTGTGTAACCTGTCAAAAACAAAGAGGAAAAAAAATTAACTTTGAAGCTTTCCTCAATGCTTAGACCTTCATTTCTGACTCCTGCAGACAGCGTGGGCCTGCAGTGCCTCCAGGATGGGCTCTCTGCAGAGGTCTCTGGGGCTGACTGAGCTGTCCTGTTGTTTTCAGTGGAGCTTTCCACTCCAAGATTAGGGATTTGAAAAGGATCCTGACACCCAGAATCTTTCTTTCAGTAGATGATGCAGGGGCAATAAACTAATCCCTGGTTGCTATCCAGTTATTTGTTGCAACAACTACAGTGAAGTGGTCACAGAATTGCTGCAGTTTCCATGCACACATTGACTTTGTCTCAGCAGTAACTTGTTCAGTGCTCTGAGCATATATCTGCCATGTTCAGGAGGCTGGATCATTATCCTTCTTCTCTGCCTCTGCACCAGAACAGGACGGATCTAATTGCACACTGAATGTCTCATGAGGCAGCTTTTTACCTCTATTTTGATTGCACTAACTCCAATTCTCTCAGTCTCAGACGCACAACCCATATTAACTCTGTCTTCCCGTGTAAAGCTCAACCTCAGATTAGGTTCCCTGTGCACATTGCATTTCTCCCATCAGACCACTTAAGCCCAGGCTCCATGTCATTTGCTTGCAATAAAGGAAGTTTTGTTCCCTCAAAAATTCAGGGTGAAGATGCAGTGATTAACAATGTGGGGCCTAGCAAACACTTTCCATTGCTGTGCCTGACAACAAAAACATGATACACAGGAAAATAAACCACGTTCCAAATATTTTTAAACCTTGATTTCTTTTATTTCAGTTTAGACTGAAAAAGAAACATACTAGCTTTCCTGCTGCTGAGATATCACACAGATACCTCTAAACACCTTCTAATTTTTTTTTTAGATTTATGAAACTAGAAGGATTTCCTCTGACTCGAATGTAATAAGTGATAATGACAAAATCACAACTCTTCAGAGTACTCAGTGTTCATAAGTGGGCTGCCTCTGCACTGATGGGTGTTATTTTTTTCTTTCAGTACAGTTCAAGAAAGGGTGAGGCTTTTACGTTGCAATGTACACCTAATTTCCTACAGGTGAGAAAGATGGGGCTCAGTCAACCTTTGTCCTCAGCTAAGACTAGCCAGTGAAAGACGAGCAGCTCACTGGAGACTCTCAAAGGTGATCCACCTTGCATGAATCAGACAGCAAAAAATTTATCAGTTGCTGCTGTACCTGTGTCTTGGCACAAGAAAATAAATCAGGAAGAGAAGCTTCCTACTTGTGTGAAAGATTTCCCATGGTTGTCACAGAAGTGACACTACAACTTCAGATGAAACTCTTCATTGGGAAGAGGATGGGTATGAGAGGTTAGAGCATGTGCTGCCCTAAGTTGCAGATAATTTGGAGCTGTGCAGAATATTTCATCTGCTACTGGATGTAATTTATTGAACAGTAATAATTTTCCCTGCGCCTAAGACAAATAATTAAAGGGCAGGAAAGTTTAAGTCCCTTTCTGCATACTGAGCTGCAAAAAAGCTGAAGTTCATTAATTCCAGTCAAGTCTGCTAGGAATGGAGAGAGTTGGGCAGTACAAGGCAAGATTAGAGTTATGATCAGGCAACTGAAGAGGCCAGACTATAAAACACTCAGGAATAGTTGGGCTTTCACTGGAACTTTTCAACCTTTTGTTTGTGGACAAAGAAAGCACATACCCAGCTTAATTCTCCGCAGCTTAAATTCGTTGGCGAATTTCTCCAGTTCCCTGATCTCAGGGGAGTCCATGTCAACAGGGTCTTCAACGGACTTGCTTTTCCTGCGGAACTCCTGCTTGAAGTCCGTGGCAGTGGCATCATCTGTGAGGAGGGGCTGGGGCATGGGAGTGAAGCCGTGGCCCAGGGCACAGGAGCTGGCACTGAGAGCATGCTCCGGGAATTTATAAAGGCAAGGGGTCAGACTACCTGAGCAGCACCAAAGAGAAAACTCGGTACAGTTATTCTCTACCACTACACAGTAAAAACCTCCCTCCACCATCTCATAATCCTGTAATATTCATTATATAACATGAGAATACCCAAGAGTGAGGATCTCCTAGGAGGTACTGTCTCTTTCTTGTCCAAACTCATGAAAACCAACCAGCAGCCACAACCATCCTCTTCCTGAGTAAACAGAAGCACTTAAATAAGATGGCAAATGGTCTAAACCTAAACAAATAAAATCCGAGGTCTAAACTGTAATTAAGGGGTACCTCTAGAATGACAGAGCTATGTCATTTTGAGTCCCCTAAAACTTGCCAGTCTCTACTTTCTGGTACACAAAATATTTCCGTGTCAGTGCCATGTGATACTCGGATGGGATACTACCTTGGCTTAGCTTCAGTGTAAAACTTCTTGGGGGAAGGAACAAAGGTAAGACCTAAAGGCAGAAAAACCCTAACAACCAAAAAGCCAGAACACATTCAAAATGACCCTTCTGGCTTAAAAAGAAATTACTCAAGGGCAAAGAACTGTCTTACATTACCTTTTGTTCACAAATATCAGAAGTAACAAGGAGACTCAGTTAAGAGTGAAGGTGATTTTTTCACTAGGTATTGTACATAGAGCTAAAGAGTCTGTGACTTAAAGGAGGGGTGGAGGGAATCATCAACACTCTTCAGTGTATCTGGAGCAGCCAGTAAATTCCTGGTTTTCGGGACATCCTTCCCAATTTTCTAAATTATACAAAACTTTGTAGAAGAACTCAGAACTGCATTAACCTCCACTGCTTCCTCCATTTATTAGGGTTAGGGTTGTCTTCACCACCCTGAATGCTCTCACCAGCGTTGGAGGTTCTAACCCCATAGCAGCTACTTCATACACTTCAGACAGGCTAACCACAAAAAGAAAAGGATTTTTTTTTTCTCAAAAAATAAATAAAAATACTTAAAAAGAGGAGGACTTGCTTTGCAAGGTGCTGACACTGTTTACCACATTGGGATGGGGCACGCTGCACGTCTGTAAGATGCGAGTCTGGGAGAGACTTGCCGACAGCATCTCTGGAGTTGAAGGCTTGATGCCTAAAAAGGGAACAAAGTAAGGGTGAAAAGAAGAAAGGAGAAGAATAAAGATGTGTTTCTTCTGGAATGAAAGAAAATGAACTTGTGAGCAATATATTTTGTCTAATATCCACTAACTTTTCCCAGGGATCTGAACAATGCAAGGAATGTTTGCAACAGGTACGTAAGAGCACTATGTAGTTGGAGCATTTGGATGTTTGGACTCCATAAAGGAAATCTACACTCTGTCCCTATGCAGATATATTAATCCAAGCTGTCTAACTTGAATATTTCCTTCATTCTTAAGTGAAACAAAATTCTGAGTTTGATTTTGGTTTATTTCCAAATCACAGTTACCTCCTAGGAGTTGTGTGAATTTGGTTCATGTCGTTATCTCATCGACTGCTACTCGAATAGAATACTTATTCGCATAGAATAAGAGTTCCTCTTTCTTACTGAGCCTGGCACATGCAAAAATGAGCAGGATGCTAGCATATATTCATGAGTGTAAAAATCCATGACCATCTGCCTGATCTGCCTGCAGAATTTAGATATCTTTGCCTTATGTCCCATTTTATTTTATATCTTTGGGCACGGTTTTGTCAGCCCAGGTACTGGTAATACACAGGTATATTGGGTATGTCACTCCTGGTCCCTCAGAAAGTGATTCTCACCAGGGGAAGTGGACATAGGTTAGCAAAAAGAGCAGCACTTTCCCAGTCTTGCAGAGAGATGTAAAATACAGAGTGATTTCAAGAGAGATGCAGAGGTTTTGGGGAAACTCTGGGCAGTGACCCCTAATTTCCTAACACTTCTTCTAGTGCCTTAATCCAAATCCCATCTCCTTTAAACAATTGTCTTGGATTGATCCCTCTAAAGGAAAACTGCCTAAAAAATCAACATGCTAGTAGCTCACCCCAGCTGAAGGTTTGCTCTCTTACCTGCCATCACCCCATAGGTAGATGGTTGGTTTCCATAATGACAGGAGGGCACAGAGTAATGAAGTCCTGCCAAAGCGCGTGCCAGCATCGTCGTGCCAGAGCCAACACATGAGTTTGGACCAAAGACAAAACAGATGGGACTGGTGAGAAAATATGTGATGATTCGAGACAGAGCCTGTAAGTTCAGAGGGAGACAGTGCCCTTGTGCAGTTTTAGCGTGCAATCAGTAAGCCTTTAACTCTGGGCCGTAACCATCAGGTAACACTGCTGGAAGTCCTGACAGCTGGCCAGGTCACTGCAGGTAAACTGCTGGTGTGTAAATAGTGAGACACCCTCCCATTCAAGACCAGAAATTGCCATGCTGGGGTCTTGTGGCATTGCTTTTAATATATTCCATGACCATAACCCAGTTTACGTACCCTGCTTAGCAAGGGACGCCTCGAACTCTTTGGAGGAGACCAGTTCCTCTCCTCACAGAACTTTCACACACAGTTTCGTTCAGTCTTACATAAAAACTAATTCTGTGTGCTCAGGAAATCGCTTGCCTTCACTGTCATGCAAACCCCACTGCGAATGAAGGCAGCAAGGAAGGCAATATTTTATGTGTGCCTAAGACCTGGGTTTCCAAAGGCAGCAGTTTGGGACATCTGCTTTGAGGCAGCCAGAAGTCAAAATTTTTTAGGTGCCAAGACACAAAAAAAAAAAAAACACATTTCAGAATGCTTTGGCAAGGAGGTAGAGAAACAGGACAGCAGATTCTGGGCTCCTCTAAAAAGTTAAGCTTAAATAAACATTTTCCAGGAAACACACAATTAATTTATCTCTTGTGTTTTCACAGGGCTATTTCAGATCTTTGCTCAGTAATAGCCAGGGCCTGAAGAATGAGACCATTTTTTTGCTGAGCGTGAAATAAGAGCTATAGCTCTTTCTCATATATAAGGAGGACTAAAAATGCAAATGCTCTCCCCTCTAACAACTGCTATAAAATATAATATTAAAAATTAATGTTCACAAGCTTTCAGATATGTAAAACCACATTTTAGAGAACACATTCCAGTCATTCAAAGCCGTATAATTAATTAGGGATTAGAATCTCTATTTTTTACAACATTATTCATAACAGTAAAATGTCCTGTTTAGATACTCTTACACAGATATTAAATCTACTAAGACAAACATGTTTAGACTGATATAAATGCACTGAAAATAAAGATTCTGTTAATAATTCTAATGCATGTAGCACGATGCTACTTTTCTATTGAGATAAGATCTAAGTGTTTATTGGTTGTCTTTTTTCTATTATTAGATAATCCACAGGCTATTAGTTTTATGCATGAAAATACAATTTTCAACTTGCTAATAAAGACTTAAGATTAAATAGTGAGGATGATCTCGTTCAGATTAAATAATAAAAATTAAAATGTTAAGGACAATGCAGAACATCAGCTGAATTACATGGCATAATATTTGAAAAGAAGTATATTCACCTTTTCGTGATGCAGGATTGCTACAACCAATTTTTTAAAAAACTGGCATTTAAAATAAGTTGTTATTCAAAATTCTTCCACTGTTTTATTGAGCACAAATTCTCCTTATATGCTTTCACAAGAATAGCATTGTTTATTACAATTTCCAAATCTATGTATGAGATTTGTACGCCTTTAGTCATTATAGTTGTTGCTGCTTTCACAGGGTTGTTTTTCACAGAGTTTGACCCTGTTTAGATGGGATCCTGCAATTGAAATTTCCCTGAACTGCAGGGTCAGTTTGTCACTGGGAGGCAAACACAAAATATCAACCTAAACCTGAAGCAGGCAAGCAAATGGTTTTCACCACTTACCTGCTTTTGCTTTTCATTAAAATGTTTTATTACCAGTGTATTTCAGGAGAAAGCTAGTTTCTTTTTAAGACTCCAGATAGAATTCTAACCTTAATGCCATTTCAGATAAATCAAACTATGTCTTCCTCTGTTCTTGAAACCTTTCCATCAACAACTCCTGCATTTCAGAATCCCACTTCTACAGTATTAAGGAAGATAGACAAAACTCTCTTTCTCTTTGTCTGTCTCTCAGATAGTTCAGTGATTACACAGGCCAAGTATTTCAATGCATCTAATTGGATTGCATACACAAACATACAAAATTCAAAAAATATTGTCAAGGCGTCTACTACCAATTTTGAACATCCCACTTAAATCTTAGTCTTCATTCAGTATGCAACATGCCTTGAGGAGCAATGTTTTTCCTTCTTTAAAGCTTCCCCAAGTGATATTTAGACCTGAGCTGCTTTATATATATTCCTTATTTAAAGTAATTTATGTTATTTAAATTGTGGTTATATAATAAACTTTCAATTAATTTACATGACACTTCTCATTGAAGACTATATAGTCATAGCAACAGTGACAATGTTTGAAGCTGTTTTAAATTAGTGCATTGGCAGCATATTTGAGCCTAATCTTGTAACAAACTTAGAGAAAGCTGCTTATTTAGCTAAAACACAAACATTTGTGATTTTCCTTATTCACTCATATATAGAGTTTGTGAAATTGCTTCTGCTTTAACATAATCCCAATCCACACATAACATGGACACCAAACACCTTCAGTACTGCAGAACCTGATGAACACAGACCATCCAAAACCATCACAAAAAACGAGAGTTACTGAGAGCAAGATTATTTTTAAAAAGTACCTGTAGATACAACATTGGTGGCATGGTTAGAAACATGCAGGCACTCTGCGGCGCTGTGATGCATTATCAGAGGCAGAGAGGGAGAAGAGTCAGAATTCAGGGGTACAAAGGTGTCAGATGAAGTAAATGCTTGGCAACTCATACCCTCCAACGGGCAAAGAGAGCCGCTTGTCCCCCGTTTTCTGCCAGAACGGATCCTGCGCAGTCAACGGCAGCTCCGACCCAACTCCCAGGTTTTTACCTGCATATGCATATACAGGAGGGCTCCAGAGCACAGGGAGGTCGTGTGCAGGTATTTATACCACTAGGAAATCCCTTTATCCATTTTAATGTTCTTTTCCCAGCAATATTGCCACGCTGCTATAGAGCCTCCTCCCTTCCCACACGAACACAATACTCGTCCAATTAACGGGGGGCCGAGGGGGGTGTGGGGGAAGAAGAGGGAAACCAGAGACACGATTTGACTGATATTTTCAATTAGCTCTTTTGTAAAGGACAATGATCAGAAAAAAAAAAAAAAAAAACCAAACGTATAAAAGTATCATCAAAGTCGGTAGCAACAGAGAAGCTTAATGCTAAGTGAGTTTCCACAGTTAACACCTGCCCCCAAAATCCCATCCAAGCAATTGTCTGGAAGGCAAGCTGTCTGAGAGCTCAGTCAGAAGTCTGCAGGAGTCAAGAATCTATACCAAGGCAAGCTGAATTAACCTAATTCCCAGTGCAGTTGCACAGTGATTGTTTGACTTAACCTACAATAGTACGAATCAGAGATATGTAATATGGAGCAGCTGTACCCAGGAGGGTATTTTTGAACAGATAGCTTTACATAAGCATGATGTGCTAAATGTTTATCTAAGGTGAACCTTGAAAGAGTCCACAGTATCAAAAAAAAATTCATTTATAGTTCCTCTTACTAATTTATACTACCACAGCATCTACACTCTTCTCCAGAAGATCCTGAGTAAATCCAAGATCTTTTCTCAAAGAAGTTGGGGGATTTTTTTGGCAGCAGATTGGAATTACTTTGGATTACCCTAAAAATGATGAAAAACTTCTTCAGAATACCATAGTCACATATTCTATGTATATGCAATAATGATGGGGTGTTCATTGTTTTGGGTTTTTTTTGACTTAGCTTGTTTTGGTTTGTTTTGGGTTTTGTGGTCAAAGGTGGTTGGTCTTATTTTATGTAAAGATGATGATACTTTTTGTGTTTTTTGTATTCCTAACTGATTCAAATGTCTGCACTAGAATTCTGACAACACAAACTTCAGATACATAAGATGGGAGCAATCACACACATCATTGCACCATTTTTCACGAATTATTGCAGAAAAGAGCTATTGCATTGAGCCATTCTGTAGAAGCCCAGTTATTATATGTAAATGTGTTTTGGGGAAAGCTGTATCTGAGGTTGTTGAGGAATTTCATAAGAGTTACTGCATAATGCAAATTGCACATGTGCTTTAACAGTGGTGAGGCTCTACACTCATAACCACTATCTATACGTGTACTTTCATGTAGCAAAATATATAAAAACTTCAAAATAATTATTGCAATATTATGGAAGATCTTGTCATCAAATAAACTGCCATCTGTATTACTTTGGGCTTGGCCCAATGTAATACTAGTGTCTATGGATTCAAAATTAAAATTTATTTTAATATTATTCACCTCTGAGCTCCTTTTCTCCTTTGGTAAGGAGCATGATACATCTACCAGGGGCTTAAGTCCACATCCCTACTGGCCTTTTGTAGCTATGGGAGAAAAAGAAACACTAAGAATAACTTTACAGCCCTGTCCTTGACAATTCTTTTTTCCCATATCCCAACAGGTAACAAATATATCACTGCAAACTCACATCTACATGCAAGGAAGTTGTAGCCTGTTCCCAGACACAAGATGGAGTTCACTTCCATTTTACATTTCTTCCTGAGGTGACACCCTGCTAGTCACCAACTCAAATGAGTTTTTCATGCCATGGCTATTTAGTGTTGTGTTTTATAGTGCTGAATTACTAGGATTTCTATTTCTATGTGTTTGTGCTATACCACTATCTTCTCATTAAGGTAAAAACTTCACTATTTTTCATTTTGACCATGACCAAGGTTCTTTAGTCGTGTTCAGTTTAAAGTGAAGTTGCTTGGCTTAATTTTTGAGGATTTTGAACAGCTAGACTGTTACTAATACAAGGTATTTGACAACTTTCATGTAGATCAAGCAGAATAATAAAGCTCGTTTCTAACAAGAGTAGCACCTCTCTTAAAGCTTTGTTCCAACCCTCTGTGGATGCTGTGCTAGGTTTGTTACTGCATCTGCTCTGCCAAGAAGAACACCTTGGTGGTATAAGTCCTGTCACACCAGCCACACTCA